CCAGCCAGCTGGCGACCCATTTGACTGTGTGGGTGTCTACGCCACAGCCCCCCAGTTTCTTAATGAGAACGGGGTGAGAGACAGTGTCAAAAGCCTTCCGGAAGTCCAGGAAGACTATGTCCACTGCTACCCCTGCATCTAATGATCAGGTGATCTGATTGTAAAAGGCCACCAGGTTGGTCTGACAGGACCTGCCACTGATGAACCCATGTTGGTTGCCCCTAAGCATGCAGTCCCCTGCTGGCCCCTCTTGGATGTGTGCCAGAATAATTTTCTCAAACAGTTTGCCCAGGATCGCGGTAAGACTAACTGGCCTATAGTTTCCCAGGTCCTCCTTCCTCCCTTTTTTGAAGACGGAAACCACGTTGGCCCTCTTCCAGTCCTCCGGTACCTCTCCAGAGCACCACGAGTGCTCATAAAGCCGTGTCAGGGGACTTGCAATGACCTCAGCCAGGTATACACTTTGTTGAGTGTATACCTTTAAATGCATTTTAAAATGAATTTATTTTACTTAGCCAACCAAACAAGTAAGCCTACAATTCCCAACTTTCATTTCACGGTACTCTCTACCCATCAAAAGATACTCCACCATGCCACAAGAGAATTGCTATTTTTTTTATGTATAAATCTGTCCTTTACATACACTATTATTCATAACTGCTAAAATGTTCATCTTTTAGCAGGAGGGGTTTGCACAGTACTGTATCCTTCTGATGGCCTAATCCAGGGATGTCCAACAGGTAGTCCACTGGCTGCATGCGACTCCTGAGAGGATTACCTGTAGCCCTTAGGCTTCCTGTTCAGGCACCACTCCCCACCATCAGTCTCTAATCCCTAATCACCACCATTCTCTAATCTCTAATCTGATCCCTGATCAAACTGGGATCAGAGGATGGACAAGCAGAGACTGTAAGTTAGGATCCAAGGGGGTTGGGGTGAAAGGGACCTGATGGTGAGGGTCTACTACAGGCCTCCTCACCAGGTGGTAGACGAGGAATTTTCCAGGCAGCTCTCAGAGGCTGTGTGGTTTAGAGACACGGTAGTCATGGGGGGCCTTAACTACCCAGACATATGCTGGGAGGAACAATCAGCTAGATCTAACTGCTCACACAGGTTCTTAACCTGTATTCAGGACCTCCACCTAACACAGGAGGTAAGGAGTCCCACCAGGGGTAATGCCTTGCTTGACTTGGTGTTGGCCACAGGGGACGACCTGGTGGGGGACCTGCAGATTCAAGGCAACTTAGGGGACAGCGATCATCAAATGATAAAATTCACTATCCAGATAAGAGTGGGCACTATACCTAGCAGGACACAGGTGCTAAACTTTAAAAAGGATGACTTTAATAGGCTCAGGGGATTGGTTAGCAGGGTACTAGAAACCAAGAGCCTAGATGCTTTGGGGGTCCAGGAGGGGTGGTCATTCCTCAAGGATACCATTCTTTGGGCTCAGAGTGAGACAATCCCATGGCAGAGGAAAGGGGCCAAAGGGGCCAGGAAGCCCCTTTGGCTAACCAGGGTCATCCAGGATACCTTAAGGACAAAAAAAGTAGCATACAGAAAGTGGAAGCAGAGGGTAGCTAGCAAGGAGGAGTACACTTCCTTGGCCTGCACCTGTAAGGAGTCAGTCAGGAAGGCCAAGGCAGCTCTAGAACTCAGGCTAGCAGCAGGGATTAAGGATAATAAAAAAATCCTTCTTTAGGTATGTTGGGAGCAAAAAGAGGGTGCAGGGTAGCATAGGACCCCCTACAGGGCAGACAGGGGAACTTAGTGATGGATAGCAAGGACAAGGCAGAGTTCTTCAATGAGTTTTTTGCCTCTGTCTTCTTAAATAGGAATCTAGATGAACACTCAGTATGTATCACGGACATCAACAAGGGGAACATCAGCCGACAAACAGTCAGCGCTAACACGGTAAAAGGACACTTGGAGGGACTGGATGTGTTCAAATCACCAAGACCAGAGGGACTCCACCCATGGGTAATGAAGGAATTAGCAAGTGTCATAGCTGAACCACTAGCAACGATATATGAGCACTCATGGTGCTCGGGTCAGGTCCCAGAGGATTGGAAGAGGGCCAATGTCATCCCAATCTTTAAGGAGAGGAAGGAGGATCCAGGGAACTATAGACTGGTCAGCCTTACCTCTATCCCAGGGAAAATCCTTGAAAAAATTATCAAGGAAAACATCTGTGGGAGCTATTGTGATGCAGAGGGGTAACCACATGGGTTTATAGCAGGCAGGTCCTGGCTAATTAACTTAGTTTTGCCTACAGTAAAATGGGTAGCAAACTGGCTCAGGGGTCGCACTCAGAGGGTGGTGGTGGATGGGTCAGTGTCAGCCTGGAGAGATGTGTGCAGCGGAGCCTCTCAGGGCTCAGTTCTGGGGCCGGTGCAGTTCAACATCTTCATCAGTGACCTGGATGAGGGGGTGGGAAGCACCCTGTCCAAATCTGCAGATGACACAAAAATATGGGGCGAAGCTAACACCGTGGAGAGAAGGAACCAGATCCAGGCTGACCTTGACAGGATGGGGAAGTGGGAAGACAGCAACAGGATGCAATTCAATAAGGACAAGTGCAAGGTGCTACATCTCGGGAGAAAAAACTGCTATCATAACTATAGGCTGTGACGGGGGGACCTTCTCAGTACCACTGAGGCAGAAAGAGATCTTGGAGTCACTGTTGACTCCAGGATGACCATGAGTCATCAATGTGATGAAGTAGCTGGCAGAGCAAATTGCACCTTGTCGTGCATTCGTAGGTGCTTCACAAACAGGTCCAGGGAGGTGATTCTTCCTCTACGCGGCACTGGCCAGGCCACAGCTGGAGTACTGTGTCCAGTTCTGGATGCCGCAGTTCAAGCGGGATGTGGACAACCTGGAGAGGGTCCAAAGAAGAGCCACTCCTCTGATTGGAGGCCTGCAGGGAACACCCTACCAGGAAAGGCTAAGGGACCTTAACCTCTTCAGCTTCTCCTAGAGAATGCTGAGAGAAGACCTTGTGGCAGCATACAAATTCACAAGGGGTGAGCAACACGAAGTAGGCAATGAGCTGTTTACCAGGGCACCCCCTGGAACAACAAGGAACAATGGCCATAAGCTACTGGAGAGTAGGTTTAGACTAGATATTAGAAAAAAGTTCTTCACGGTCAGGGTTGCCAGAATCTGGAATGGGTTTTCAAGGGAGGTGGTGTTCGCCCCATCCTTGGGGGTCTTCAAGAGGAAACTGGACAGGCACCTGGCTGGGTTCACATGATCCCAGGTTTGGTGACCCTTTTCTTGCCTGCCAGGGGCAGGGGCTCGGACTAGACGGCCCACTGAGGTCCCTTCCGACCCTAGAATTTATGAATCTCTAACTGTTACCGCTTCCTGCCCTTATTCCTGGATGTAGGACATCGTGGCACAGCCTGCAGGGCCAAGGGGTCTGCAGCCAGAAGTCTTGGAGAGACTTAGGGATACTGCACAGTGTGGAGGTGGCTGCCATGCACCAGAAGGGTCTCATTTAACATGACATGATGAGATGTGACAAGTTCTCTTTCTGCGTACCACAAATTAATGATTTTTCTTTTTCCTTGTTACATTCTATTATCTTTTTTTATTGACCTATTTACTATTTCTCCTGTTTGCTACTGAAAAGAGAAGTAAAACACAGACAAAAGATACTATAAAGAAGAAAATATGCTAGAGAAGGCAAAAAGGATGTCCAAAACCAAAAATCTTATTCTACTCCAACAGATCCCCTGAGAAATAAGCAGATGAAACCATGACACTACATGTCCAGCAACAATACAAACAATCAAATGGTTATACTTACTAAAATTTGGATCTGCTGCTTTTAACTTGGTGAGACATCCCTCAATGCCTCCCAGGCTCATATCATTGGTCCATGTTGCATACTGCAACAGAAAAAGACACCGACTAGGCACAAGTGGAACTGAGTTTCTTTCATTGCCCTAGCTGAAACTCAAGTCATATAAAGGTTAAAAAAGAAGACTGAATAGATATTAGATTCAGAAAGAACATTAAATCAGTAATCCTATAGGTTGGACACTCTGCTTTTTGGAACTATGGTTTTATCGTGACTGTTCTTTCAGGCTGGAATTTGGAAATCAACTGAAACAACACAATCCTCTGAACAGCCACTTAACCCAAACACTTCTGTCATACCTGAGTCAGTATGGCATCAAACATCTTGCAGGCCTCATTACTAGTTGTGGACAGAGCAAGTCCAGCATCCTTCCAGGCCTGAAAAAACACGAAAATGTGAAACTGTTTACTCATCATACACTGATCTCTTAGATCAGTTATTTGTTGAGACATAGGAATTGAAGTAAAAAGGTTTCCAGCAATGTCTTCCACCTGACAAAAAAAAAAAAAAGCCTGACAGGACAGTTTGAATATCCACATACCCCTTTTACTCAAGTAAAATTATGCCTGCAAACACGCCTCTGAAAGGGGGTAGTGAGGGAGGAATAATAATGATGGAAAAAAGGGTAAAATAAATTGTACAGTAGGGTGTCCTCTGTGGTCTTGTAACTCTAGGTTAGTTTCCCAGGTAGGGAAATATATACCATTGGTGGTATGTGGCAAATGCCCAGAAAGTATACAGAGAAAAGAATGGGAAAGAAGAAAAAAGAAAAGCAAAAGTAAGAAATGAAAAACACTCTTATTCATAGTGTGGTTGTAGTGACATAGAGAGTATTGGGACCTTGTTACACATTACATCAGGGGCGGGCAATTATTTTGGGTGGAGGGTGCTTACCCAGTTTAGGCAGGCCCTCCAGGGCTGCAGATAGCCCAGCCCCTTGACAGGTGCCCCGCCCCCTGGTCACCATCTTGGGACCAATGTCCCAGGGCCAGCACTGGTGGGGCCCAAAGCAGAGCGCAGGCTGGCAGCGATCTGTGGACCTGGGTTAGGCTGCACAAGCAGGAAGAGGGGGAGCTGACCTGGCTCCACAGATCCCCTGCCAGCTGGGACCCCGCACTCCTGCCATCCTGCTCTGGGCCGCACTGGCCCCAGGACACTGGTGCGGGCCCCGTCCTCCCGCTGGCTCCCCGCCCACTCACACCCAGTACACCCCAGCTCTGCAGTACAAGTGGGGGGCAGCACACAGCCCTAATCCCCTGCTTGCTGGCAAGGAAGAAGCTGGTGCTGAGTGCGGGGAAGTGGGACCTTGCCCAGCCCATGGCCAGCACTCCCTGCTGCAGGTGCTTACAGCCTGTGTGGGGATGTCTGGAGCAGGCACAGGCAGCCCCAGGTGGGCTGCAAGTGGCTACAGCGGAAGGCGCTGGCCACAGGTCGAGCAAGGGGCCGCTTTTCCCCACGCTCAGCACCAGCTCGTAACCCACGCCAGAGCTTGCATGCTGAGCAGCCCACAAGCAGCAATGGCAAACACCACCTAGCGCGGCAAGCGGGGGGCTGCAGGTGCTGTCACCACGCACAGCCCCGACAGGCTAGCCTGGAGCCCAGGCTGGCAGCGGGGCTGGGTTACAAGGTGGTGCTGAGCGCGGGGGGGGAAAGCAGCCCCTCCCTGCCACATGGCCGGCACCCCACACTGCAGCCACTCGCAGTCCGCCTGGGGCTGCCTGTGCCTGCTCTGGATAGCCCCATGCGGGCTGTGGGCAGCTGCAGCAGGGAGCGCCAACCATGGGGCAGGCGAGGGGCCACTTTCCTCCACACTGGGAAGGAGCAGGGAAGGAGCTCAGGGAAAAGCTGAGTGCTGGGGGGAAAAGCAGCTCCTCTCCTGCCCCGTGGCTGGTGCTCCCTGCTGCAGGTGCTCACAGCCCACATGGGGCTGTCCGCAGCAGGCACAGGCAGCCCCAGGTGGGCTGTGAGCAGCTACAGAGCATGGCTGCTGGATGGGGGGGCAGAGCCGGGCAGGCCCTGCTGTTGCCAGAGCCTGCCAGGCTTCCCCTGGGTCCTACTGCCCTTGGTTCCTGTCATTTTTTTTTTTTTTTTTTTTACAGGAACCAAGGGCAGACAAATATTAATTTTCTATATTTTTAGGGGCCCTGCAGACCAGATAGAATGGCCTCGCAGGCCGGATCTGGTCCTCAGGCCGTATTTTGCCCACCCTTGTATTACACTGTGCATGGCACAAATGTTTGTGGGTGCTAGTTCTATCTCAAATTTGAAGCAATCACACCTTCAAGCAAATTTGAAGCAATCGCACCAGCAGCAGGGCCTGGAGGACTGAAAGGTAGAATCTCCACCCCCAACCTCCAGCCCCATTCTGGACTTCCCCCCAGCCCCTTGTGGTTCTCCCAGTTCCCCCCAAACCCTCTGGGCTACCCAGAGGGCTGCAGCAATTCAGCAGTGGTCAGGCAATCAGGTTACCCCTTCCCTGCCTGCACCCCCCCAGTAGCCACAATTAAGGGGTGGGGACAGGGGGAGGGTGAAGGGGCAGTGAGCGGGGATCTGGGGTGCTGGGGAGGGCAGTGGGCCTGGTCCAGGCCAATGCAGGAGAGGAGGCCGGTGGGGTGGTTACACTAAGGTGTAACCTAGAATGTCTACCCCTTAGTATAACAAGCTGCATACAAGGATCAGAGATAATCCTACCACTGAGTGGCCTAATTTTGAGCCACATAATGAGTGCTTATAACCACCTTCGGGTTTTAATGTGTGGACAACCCAGAGGTTAAGAGCGCCAGGAGCCACCCAAAATTACCATGCAACAAGGTCCTTTCTATTTTATTGTCTGTAACCCAGAATCATAGGGTACACAGAAGCATAATAAACTTACAAGTACATGACCCAAAAAAGTTTGAGTGCCAGTGCTATCTAACCATTCACTCTTTAAACCTCAATTATTAGCTAGCCTCATCTATTTCAGAGTGCCCTTCTGAAAACTACAGGGCACCAAAATTCTGCACTTCACTATTTAGAGAAGCAGTTCCACCATTTGCCAAAACAGGTTTCCCTCAATTTATGCAGTACATGCGTTCCCGGAGAATGGCGCATAAATTGAATTTGCATAAAGTGAACCCATTTTACAATGCAACAAATAGAGATAGGTTCCCATGGTGGGGAGGGAGGGAGGGAGGGAGGTTGGGACTAGGGAAGGGGTTGAGGGAGGGGTGCTGCTCCCAGGGCTGTGCAAGGCAGCAAAAGAGGGAACAGAGCGGCACTCACCCCAGCCCCTGCTCCAACAGCCTGGGAGTGGCTGGCGCCAGCTGCTGGGCTGCACCATGCTTTGCCTGTCCCTGCTGTGCCTGAGCTCTGCTTGTCTACGCTCACCTCTGCTCCTGGGCTGCACTGTGCCCTGGTGCAGCCCAGGAACAGAGTTGAGTATGGACAAGCGGAACCCAGGCATGGGGTGGTGGGGGGACAGGCGGAGCACTGTGCATCCCAGTGGCTGCATGCAGCTGGCACCCACTGCTCCTGGGGTCGCCACAGCCGAGGTGGGGATGAGTTGGGCCAGGGCCCCTTCCCCTCCCCAAAAAGACTTACCTGCTTGAGCGGAGATGGGGGGGAGTGTCTATGCTGATCACATGAGCAAATTTACCTTGCATATAATGAATTATGGGTCTAAATATGCTCATTGCATAAAAGCGAATTCTTGCATAAATTGAGGGAAACCTATACTTGCCATATCCCTCATTTGAGTGGAGTTGTCAGGAGAGAATATGCAGAAGAACTCACAGGGCCACCAGGTAACACTAAAAGGCAATACAGAAACACCAAAAGAATTCAGCCGTACAAAATTTAGTGACACTATATTACACCCTCATTGGATAAACTGTCCAACAAAAACTGAGGTTTTGCATCTTCCATGGTAATTTATAACCAGGAAATCTAACAGAAAACCTCATTTACTAACTGGATTAGATGATGTAAGCTTTATACAATGGGGTAGTTGGCAAACTTTCATGGTTGTCTTCATGACCATTCCTAAGAGACCCACTACTCTGATAAAAAAAACCAACAATCATTCTGAAAAACACCTAATTTACTATAAAAATGATCTGTACAACTATAATTATTCGCCTTCATGCATAGGCAAATGGTTTTTAATAGCATGCTCTATTTGTCCGACAGGACAGCTACACAAGGGGTTAGAACTTAAGTAGCATGGGAGATCTTAATGTCAGTCCCTAAACTCTCTGGAGTTTACCTTTAAAATCTAAGCAGCATTCTTTTGATGTCACCTTTTCCATAAGTAATCTAAAACTACATTGACCACTTTTCTTTTTGTGTTTCTGTATTGAAGCTTATAAATGCTTTTAAGATCAACCTCCTCAGGGAACAGACTCACATCTAATACATTTTATCCACTGGATAATCCTAGCGATTATTAAAGAGCTACACAAAGGATGACAGTCAAAACCAATTTCCTTCTCTTACATAGATTTTATAGAAAATACATATGAAATAATTGGGTAGCCACCTAATCTCTTCTCCACTAATGGACAATTATTCCTGGTATCTTTTACAGTATTTGTCTAGACTCAGTTTCCAGTTTAAAATACTTTTTAATATGAACTCGACCGTGAACATCTGAAGCACCTAACCAGAGACAACATGTTTTAGAAACCTCAAGAATTTCTTCACAGTGATTCACAGAACCATAGAAAATGAGGGTTGGAAGGGATCTCAGGAGGTCATCTAGTCCAACCCCCTGCTCAGACCAGGACCATCCCCAGCTAGATCATCTCAGGTAAGGCTTTGTCTACCTGGATCTTAAAAACTTCTAAGGATGGAGTTTCCACCACCTCTTTGGGTAGCCTGTTTCAGTGCTTTCCTACCTTCTTTTGTACCAGTGCCACATACAGACAGTTGGAAGTACACACCCAGTTGGAAATCTGTGTACTTCCAACTCTGTTGTAGCTGACCACAACACACAAACAGTTGGAAGTACCTGTATGCATGGGCGGATCCAGGATTTTGAAAAGGAGGGTGCAAATGGTGGGGAACATCCTCACATAGAACAGAACAGACATCCT